TATTCACGAAAATTTTTAAAAATTTCTCGGTAAAATGCTGCTCATCGTAATCTATCCATAAAATTCTTGCATAAAATATTTCACGACTATTCCAAAGATTACAAATTTTAAATTTACAACAGCGTCAACAAGCGACGAACTTTTCTATTTTGCGAAATTGACAGTTTCATGACACACAGAAATAAACTTTGACTTTTTCCGAGTTACCACTTAACATTCGTGACAGTTTTTAAAAAACGTGGTGCTTCATCACAACGAATTTCACGACCGATCAAAAGTACTTTGCATCACAAACACACAGTCTCAAACTTTAAACCACTCAACACGAAATATATTCCGAGTCCCAGAGAATAAAATCTTCTCTGATACACGAGGCAGTAAAGTTCCCGCGAAGATAATATTTCCACAGCTGGTGTCCTCGCAAAAACCCATTCCCAACCAGAGAAATCATGAAATATCCCCATGAAATCACGTCATTAAACTTGAGGGAAAACGGCTCTGGAATGTGTCAAATTCGCACAAGAGAAAGAGAAAAAAAAAGCCAGGGCATTAGTCTCTTTTCAAGTCTGGGCAAAATGCCAAGGACCAAGTTCCTAAAGGCGAAAGAGAACCAAGTGAAATCGCGGGTGTGGTTCAAAAGTTTTGCCAGAATTTCCATCAGTGCAAATTAATTTCTTTGCAATGGTTGGAAACTAAACTTTTTCACAACTTTTACATTCAAAATTGTCACATTAATGGAGTTACAAGTAATTGGAAGTACACCATGTCTGAGTTTGCCCAAGAATTAATTACAGTGAAACCCCAAGATTTGGACGTAATTGGTGCATCAAGAATGTCCTTAAGTCTAGTCTCATTATCCCTCAGACTTACATTATATAATTTTTAATTGGTGTTTTATGGACAAAATACTCACCGTAAGTCCATGAAAATAAAAATTGTCTCCCAATTTAAACTGATTCAATCAATGTATTTCAACACAATATGGACATTTGGGGAATTGAATACTGATACTTCTCTACAGTACATAGAAATGTTGGCATTCTTGGTGAGAAATAACATTCAAGTGAAAAAGAGAGAAGGATGTCCCTCCATGTTGGAAGTAATTTTTTTTAATTAGCTAAATGGATGGTAAATTGGTGAGAGAAATGTCCAAGAACTTTTCTTACATCAATTTTAGGATTGGAAATATCTGTTTCTTGTAATTTGGCCTGAAACTTATTTGCAATTTTATCACAAAATGTTCCTATGTTGAGTCAGTGTCCTCATGTTGGGCCTTTTTTCTTAAATTTTTATGGGAAAATAAGTGTTCCAATGTCAAATTGTCCGCATGTCAAAGTGTCTGCATGTGGGGGTCTCACTGTACTTCATTTCTGTGCAAGAAATATTTGAGCAAAGTCCTGTAACTTGCCTCATGATTGCGGGGAAATCATAAAAAATTTACTTCAAAAATAAATAAATAAATTTCCTGTCAACATTAAAAGACACAAAGAACCATTTCTTTCTCTATAAAAAATAATTCGATTGCGAGTCATCTATTTTTTATAATTGCTAACCCACACGAGCAACAGAAATGCTGTGACATTCCTCTGACAGAAAAGTTTGCATTCATTCATCGTGCAGTGTACTAAAAAAGTATTTTAAAATTCCAAAAAAAATACAAGAACCCAAAAACATTATGAGTAAAATTTGAAAATATTTTAAATACCCAAAACCCCCTTTAAAAATTGTGGGAGGACACGAAAACGTGGGACAACAGTCGTAGGCCCAAGACAGCGTGTTTTCACATTTTTACTCTGAACAAAAACTTGACATACAATGAATGAATAATCGTTTCTCCCTGAACGACTGAGATCTTCATATTAATTCAAAAGTGATCCGTCTTTTTAAAATATACAAACACTAAATTAAATTTGATTCAAGACGCGCTTCCCAGTTCCATGACAGATGTTGAGCGATGAATTAAAAAATTCAAGTTTTCAAGCATTTAAGAACTGTCAATAAGTATTTTTAATCTCGGGCGAGATTTTTACTTCCATTAATTTTTAGCATCAATGATCATTCATTGATCAGCCGAAATTCAAGGCATTCATGCAAAAAGTCTCAAACCGCCGCAGGGATTCCAATTTTCCATTTTTCACACGAATTTTGAAGCGAAAAAGGACAGTTTATAATATTGAATAACTTGCCGAAGGATTACAGCACTGTATTTCAATAACTTTCTGCCTCAAATATTTTATTTGAAAGTATTTACGAGTTTAAAAATCCTAGACCGTTTTCATTTTTTTGGGATTTCAGATTTTCCAAAATATCCAACAAGAGTCTCAGTTTAACCATTTGCCCCGCAAAATTGAGCAATACATATTTTGTTTAAAATTGAAATATTCTTCGAAAAAACGGTCTTTTGAAATATTTAAAAATCCTCGGGAGGATTTCATTTCTTTTCCACGTGAAAAAACAGCTTCGTTTAAATTGGATCAGTGCAAATTCCTTCGGTTGCTGCAGATTACTAACTTTACTCACGCTAAATTGTAGCTATTTTTCTGAGACGACAGAGGGCAAGAAAAAATATCAAAAAAGTTAAGATCCGAAAGGAAAGTAACTAAAAACTCGGTGAGCGAAAGGAAACAAAGAGGTTTGAGTGTAAAATTACTCAAAGCCACTCAAAATGCAGAAATACCACCTGTGTATAATTCTTCTTTCTTCTAGTGTATAGTGAACACGAAGGGTTGTCTAACAATTTTTGAAAAACCCCTCGCACCCACAAAACATACAGGAAAAAAATTTAATGAAAAGTGAAGAAGAGCGAGATTTCCTTCTATTCCTCTCAGGAATGCCGTCGTGACGCAAGTCGTCGTCGTCGTCGTCGTCGACAACGACGACGAAGTGCTATTTTTTATATTATTATCTTCCTCAGCAACAAGTACCCGAAAAGCAATATCGGGTCGGTCGTTTTTCTGCCTCGTTTTCCTTATTTATTTCGTCCAATCCAAGCCAATGACACCCAGTGTTGTTTTTGACACTGGGTCAAAAACAAACACAAAAATATATGCATTGCAGTATATTTATTCTTGTTGGCTCGTTTTCGTTCTTTGCATCATAATCTAACGCGAAGGAATGTGAAAACAGCACAAGAACGATGCGAAAAATTGGACACGTTTGTTTTGTTCACTGGAATATGAAAAAAAAAACTTTTTTTTTTAGGTTAACAGCTTTGAAAATTCAGGGTGGACCGCAAAAAATTCGTGATCAAATTTAGTGCGACAATAAATTATTTCGAAATTTGAGAAGGCGAATTCAGGCTCAACTCAATCGCTTTTAAACGGGATTTATTCGATTTTTGTCACATAACGTCATACCTTATGGTTGCCAACGGGAATAAAAAAAAAATCGGCTAAAAGGCTTCAACCATATCAGCTGTTCCTTCAATCGATCACATTTTAAATAAATATTGACTCTCTGGCTTCAATTAGTCCATGTTTTCCATTTTTAAATCGCACAAAGAATCGTTTTCTGTTTTGTTGGACTAATATTTCTATCATCAATCTGAAAACCCATTTCCGCAATTTTTGTCACGAAGATTTCCATACATAACGACAATACTGTGTACCATATAAACTGATAATTGAACGTTCATTTGAGACTTAATTCAAATTTCTAGCCTTCATAATTTGTTCAACATGGTGGTTTTTAATATCGGTACAAAATTTTCGCATGTCGTTTTCGATTCGCAGTAGAGCTTCAAAAATATTCTTTCAAACCGTAATAAAATTTCAAAATCGATAGAATTAATTCTCACCATAATTTCAGTTCGAGCAAACAAGGATTCAAATTTAAAATTTAGTTCGGAAGTTTTTACGGAGACTGAAGAAGATAATGAAGGAATGATCGGAATTAACGGACAAATCCAACGCCAATTCTTTTTTAAAATAAATTTAAGGACGTTAAATTAAAAGTACTGTATGTCTCTATTGCGCCGTAAAATTGTTTACTTCCTGTGGAAAGGATTTGAATGGCATGTTACCTGAGTGAATGTGGTACTATACAATCGAAAACACGATGACGTCAGCCGTCGTTTTCCAGTGCGAAAACATTTCGTCTTTTGACACGAAGGTCTCATCATTTCGACGCGAAGTGCAGATGCTTCAAAAAGTATTACAGTACGTACTTCCACGAAACTGAGCTGGTAACACATGATGCACGGCAGCTGAGGCGCTTGGACAAGCAGCGACACCTAGTATGCGCGGAAGATTCTCAAAAGAGATATATATATATCTAAAACCGCTGCAGGTGACGCTAGAATCGCATGAACCATGCTAACAATTGAAGATCTTTCTCCTTATCCAAACTTTTGAAGTGAAAAAGGTGTGACGCTGGCAAATTCTTCCAATTCAACATTCTCCAAACAAGATCACTACTCAAATCATTGAAAAACTCGACTGAGAACTGAAAGTCTCCCAAACGTGAAGGAGATGCTGTAGAGAATTTTACCGCTTAATTTTAACCAGTTTCCTCAAGCCCAAAATTCTCCCACTTCTGCTAAATTCATGAATTTCTTATTTTTTACTTAGAATTTTGCGTTGGTGGGATGAAATTTTGTACGATATACAGTCAGAGTAAAATAGAAAAAACACGCTCAATTCGAATCACGACATTGAACACTTCTGTTCCCTACAGTCAAAAAGCGCTGAAGTAATGACAGTATGACACGCATTACTTTCTCTCAAATTTCTCAAAAATTCTGTCTAGAAACAAAAATCTCGATCCATACTCACCAAAATGTATCAAATAAGATGCCATCCAGAAGCACTATAAATACACTTATTCACAATGACCGAATCATTCCCCCGTAAAAATGCGCATCACAATCAGATGATTATCTCCGAAGGAGAGCGATTATGCGAAGTGCAACCAATCACCATCATTTAAAACTGAAATCCAATTCCAAAATTATGAGGTATTTCGTCAAAAACATTTGAATGGAATGAAGATTATTCAGAAGAGAACCTCCAAAATTCTATGCCTGTAATTGTCACACACACACACATTTCATTCCCGCATCGTGAAGTTGGATCACTGAAAATTCCAGGAATCAAAAATATCAACGTCAATAAAGTCGAATTTCTTTTCACGGCTTTCTCAAGAAATTGCGAAGCAGAAAAAGTGAATCAATCTAGGAAAACAAGAACACAAATCATAACTGTAATTCAAAATTCGCAACGCATGCGAACAGAACTAAAGAACGCCCCAAAAAGGAATTAGCCGACATTTCGAACAAGCCCATCGGGAAAAAAAATCTGTGTAATCCTTCATTCGTCAATTCGCGATTTTACTTCGTAGAAGCTATGGATTTCGGCTGAATCATCAAGAAACAGCCGACAAAATGAAGAACACGAGATGTCACGTTCCACTCCTCATTTTACGTCGCACTGATGTCAAAGATTTCCAGCGAATCCAGGTGAAAAAATGCCAGATTTGAGTCACGGTTTCCTTGTTAACAGCGTCAACACTAGCACATCTTCCCGACTGTTTCCATTCAAAGTTGCTTTTCCTCAAGCAAGCACAGAACTATTGCGTGTCTCACTCTCCCACACATGGAAATCATTGTCCAAGGAGACAGAAACAGGATTGCACTCCAACCGGTTTTCAACGAACCACTTACAGCTTCTCGATCAGGATCGACGAAGCACCACCACCTCCATTGCAAATTGAAGCTACACCTTTTTGACCAGCTTTCAAGGTGTGGACCAGATGCGTCACAATTCGCGCTCCAGACATCCTGAAAAAGATACAAAAATCATAGAATTACTGGGAAAAATCATATAGATACACGTCCATTCCCTTCGTCAGGAAGTGTAATGAGGAAACAGACCACGAAATCGAAAATAAAAATCGAAGTAAAAAAAAATCCTGCGAATTACATCCACTCAGATACTAAATACTGTTATCACTTGAAACCCTAATAACGAACACGACTTAATAAATACTGTACAATTTTCGTACCACACGCAAAATAAAAAAAATAATTGGACGAAATCATAGCACGAAGAATTCCATTTCCACAAGAAGCCAACGAAATTATTCGAGAATTCTTCTACGAACAGCTTTTCTGAAAAGCTCCATGACACTCAGCAGCAAATCACTTCCAGTGTAATCCAGAATTCTCCCCGAAATTAAACAATCTAGGCCCATAGGGTCTGTAAAGAATGCCAGAAATTTTCGAACTCACCCAATGGGATGGCCTAAGCTGACAGCTCCGCCATGAATGTTCACTTTGGTGGGATCGATATCCAGCATTTTGATATTCGCTAAAACTACAACACTGAACGCTTCGTTGATTTCCCACATCGTCACATCTTCCTTCTTGACTCCGGCGAGTTCCAATAACTGTAAAAATTAAAATTGCGTCTCAATTCAGACACCACTTCAGTATCTATTCCAATCTCGTCAATCAATCATGGATTTTTGGATGATGAATCCAGAGGATATTATCTTACAAGACACAAGTTGATTTTCCGCGAGTCGACGTAGAAAAAACATAGTAAGAATTTGTTTCGCGGTCGACAACTGACCTTTGGAGTGGCAAAGGCAGGTGCAATCGGAAAGTCGATTGGTTCAGTAGCTGCATCAGCACCCGCAACAATTCTCGCCAAAGGCTTAAGATTGTATTGCTTCAGAGCCTGTTCATTGGCAATCACTAGAGCAGAAGCTCCATCATTCAATGTTGATGCATTTCCAGCAGTAACAGTTCCACCTTCTCGCTGAAACACTGTATTCAGCGTTGGAAGTTTTGCGAGATTCACTTTCTTGTATTCTTCATCTTCGGTAACAGTGGTTGATTCGCCTCCTTTCTTTTTCGGAGGTACAATAACCGGCACGATTTCACTGGCAAATGCTCCGGACTTCCACGCTTCAGCACTCAGTTTGTAACTCCGTGTTGCATAAGCATCCTGTTCTTCGCGGGATATTTTCATCTTTTTCGCTGTATTCTCTGCACAGTTCCCCATGTGACACTTATTGTAAACGTCAGTGAGTCCATCAAAAACGATACTGTCAAAGAGAGTCACTCCGCCATA